GTTCACTTCATAAAAAGGTGGGAAACCAGCCTGTGGGAAGACCACATTCCTAGGGCCAGTCCTGCAAAGTGCCTGGGGCATAGGACAGATACAGTCCCTCCCCCAAACTCCCACAATCTCATTTCAAGGGGCATTTCCCCCTCAGGGAGCCCCAAGTGATGTAGGGGTTGTATGTTGGGCTGTTAGCCACAAGGTCAGCGGTTCAAAACCACCAGCTCCGCCTGGGGAGAAGGATGGGACTTTCTACTCCTGTAAAGAGTTACTGTCTTTGAAACTGATGAGGGCAACAGGTGTACATAGGTGCTTGACTCAATGGATGTATGTATGGACTGTGATAAGAAATGTACGAACCCTCAATAAAATTAAAAAAAAAAAAAAAAAGAGTTACTGTCTCAGGAACTCACAGTGGGCAGCTCTACGCGGTCACTGTGAGTCGGCATCCACTCCACGGCAGTGAGTGTGGAGTTTGGGTTTGGTGTCATTGTAGGTTAAAGCATTGAATTGCTAACTGCACAGTTGGTGGTTCACATCCACTGGCAGCCACTCTGTGGAAGAAAGCTGAGGCAGTCACGTCCCATAAAGCTTTAGAGTCTCAGAAACCCTAAGGAGCCCTTCTACTTTGTCCTGTAGTCTGTATGAGTTGGGTGGCGTGGGGGTGGGGATGGGGCATCTCACTGTAAAAAATACAGCCAATTAGAGCCATCACCAGTCGAATTACCAGGAGGTACCCCCCCCCCAATGTATTTCTTTTCAAAGCTGTATATTAATTTTTTTTTTAACAAAACAACCCTATCACCTTCAAAGTACTCTCCATTATACTTAATAAATTTGCCAAATCTTCAATTCCATTTTTGGAAACAGTTTTCAAACTTATCTGTTTGGATGGCTGACAGCATCTCCCTTGGTTTTTTTGTTTTCCCTCATTTTTTTTCCTTCACCTCTTCCACCTCATCATCTAATCCCTGTCCTTTCAGCTCCCTCTTGATTTCAAATATATTGTACATATGGGGTTCAAGAAAATAGATTCTGAAACTAATTTCACCTGTTTTCTTTTTTAAAGTTTTCATTGTGGCTACTAACACAGCCTTGCCTCCCCACACACACACCGTCCCCTCCCCCCACCCCTAAAAAAAAAAAGCCAAACCCACTGTTGTCCAGTGGTTCTAACTGAAAAGCGACTCTCTAGGACAGAATACAACAGCCCGATCTGTCTTCAGCACTGTCTTCTTTAAAGCAGACAGCCACATCTTTTGGCGGATCCTTTCGGCCAGCAGCCAAGCACTTGGCTACCATACCACCACAGCCCCATTTAGCCACTCAACTCAACTGCTATCAACTGACTCTGACTCACAGAGACCCTGTAGGACAGTGGAACTGGCCCCTTTTCCTGAGGGTTTCTGAGGCTGTAAATCTTCATGGGAGCAACAAGCCTCATCTTTCTTCCGAGGAATGGCTGGTGGTTTCAAACTGCTGACCTTCTGGTTAGCAGCCCAATTAAAAATGAGTCCAGGTGGCTCTACACTGGGCTGGCCTGGAAGGAGGGTAAGTGAGCAGCCTACAGCAGTCAAGTCCTGGAAGACTAAGCGCTGGCCTGCTGCTGCTAAACAGAGGTACATACTGGATGCCGGCCCTGCGAGGTGAGTCCCACAGCCCATCCTCCTAAGTGGTCTGCTGTAGAGTTTAGTTAAGACGGAACAGGATGTCTGTGAAAAGACAGAGAGAGGTGACAAACAAGGTAGAAGAGGGTAAGAAAGAGGACAGCCAGGGAGAAGAAATGCTGAGTAAGAGAAAAGCCACCCCTGCTTGGAACTCAATACCTGTTAGCCTTTCATTACGGTCTTAAAATAATGTTACATCGAGGGCACTGCAAATAAACAAAACCAAAAAGTACAAATTGTTGAATGAAAATGAGTAGGCTCTGCAAACTTTCCCCCAAACCACAATAAAAAAGAAAGCCAAAAAAAAGGACAACTATTCTACCAAAGTAATTGTTTTCATTTAATTTAGTTCTATCAAATTTTCCCTCTTTGGACAAATTGAATCATGTGGCCTGATAGTTAGCTATTATAATATAATTCCAGATGGTGAAAAAAGTGAAGCAGGGGTGGGGGGGAAGGGTGAGGCATTCATGGATGTGGAATGTGGTGAACCAGTCAGTAAGCTGACCCTGGATCTTTCTCCATGTGGCAACAGGAGAGTCAAAATGTCTTGTGTGGCCTCAACAGCCCAAACGAGAAGAGCGAGGCTTTCCCTCTAGGATTCAGGGAAGTTGCAAGTAGAATTCAAAATCCACAGGCCGTCTGCAGCAAAGAGCACCGGGAACAGAGGTCGAGCCCGGCAGGTTGGCTAGAGAAAACCCACTCCCATCGAGTCCATTCCTCCAATTCACAGCGACCCTAAACGTAGGGTAGAACTTCCCCTGTGGGTTTGAACCTGACCTTTTTTGGTTAGCAGCCCCATGCTTCACCACCATGCCACCAGGGCTCCCTGGCAAGGGAGATGCTTCCCCAGTGTCAGAAGCTCTTGGAGAATAAAGGCGCTCTACAGCCCAGGTTAACCTGCTGCCTGGTCCAAGGATGGGGAGAATGGAGGCTGAACGGTGCCCACACTTGGGGAGACTTCACGGGGTACAGTCAAGAAGAGATGGATCTTGACTCCTGGGACCAAAGGCAAAGCTGTTTCTTTCCAGTTTCGAAGGACTCACACTGGTCGTTCCTCACCTAGGAGACGGAGCCACCCCAGCTTTGGCAGTCGATCCTAGAGCTGAGCCTCCACACCCCTCGTGGCCCAGTCACCCCTCTCCTAACTACAGGCCCATCAGAACTGCCTGTGTTATACACCAAAGCACAAGTATGGCTAGAAGAGTCATAGCCAAATGCTGAGGACTGGCCACATGTCCATCGGTAAATATGTGTCGGGTCACCCAATGGCCACTACCAGCAGCCAGGAGGCAACGCCACAACTACAGGTAGCATCGCGGATGAGTCTCAGCACCTAACTTAGCTTCAGGAAAGAAGATTCAGTAGAATTCCACTTATAGAAAGGACGCGCACAGGAAGGAAGTCGGGTCAGCAGTTATGCTGGAGGAAGTGGCGCTGGCAGAGAGCACAGGAGAGCTCCCGAGGCTGCAGCATCTTTTGCTCCTGGATCCCTGTGCCGAGTAGATGGCTGGGCTCAGGTAGGAAGACCCACTGAACAGTCCGAAGCTTATGGCATGCCTACTTCGCTGGTATGTAAGCCACCGTGTAGGAATGTTTTTTATAAAGCTTTGTCCAGTGTCAGACAAGCATGGTCATGTCCGTGAATTCCTCTAACCTCCCACCTCCATCCTGCTCTCTCACACACCTTGGGGGAGGGAGCCCTCCCTGTGCTTGTGTTAAGCTGGCTCTCCTTGCAGAAACCTCTGGCCACCAATCCACAGGTATGGCTTCCTCCCACACCAGGCCGGTGACTGACTTGCCCCTTGGCTAACTTATTCCACCCATGTGGATCGATTCCTGGCTTCTCCTTCCTTGGCAGTTAAGGAGGTCGAAGTCATTACTGTGGGTCCCAGATATGCCCAGTGTGGCATTTCTGCCTGAAAACCTAGGCAATGCCCTCTGGGAGGGCTCTCAGTCCTGGGTGGTCTCTGTAGGCAGCAAGGAGTCAAGTGTTCTCAGGCGCACAGGGGAGCAGTCCTCCCTCTTCTCCCAGGCACTGCTGCCTCTGAGACACACACCTTGCCCCTCCCAACCGCAGAAGCCCCCCAGATCATCATGGCCCCTCTCCTCCCTCGTGCCAGCAGCCTCATCACCGCCGAGTAGCTCAGCTAGGAAAACAGGGAAGAACTAGAGGGAGCAAATCAAGGACCAAGGCATTCGTTCTTCACCCTAACTGTCCGGGATACACCCTTAAAATGCACCACTGCTCTATTTTGATGGAAAAACAAGAACAACTCACTGCCATCAAGCGAATTCTGACTCTCAGCCATCCTACAGGATCGAGCGGACCTGCCCCTGCGGGGTTTTAAGGCAGCAGCTCTTCACAGAAGTAGAACGCCTCATCTTTCTCCCTCAGAGCGGCTGGGGGTTTTGAACCACTGACCTTGCGGTACCAGGTGACCAGTGGGCGGTTTGTGCTACATTTACAAGAGCCTTGTAAATGGTGCAGGCTGACGACAAAAGCACAATTGCAGGTCTTTACACCCTTTGACGTGGTACTGGCCCCTGAACCAGAACCCTCTTTGCTCCTTCCCCATTTCCCCCCATTTCTTTTCTTGCCTAGAGAAGAAACAGCTACGGATCATAACCAAGCATGCTTTTAACGTTCAGAAACAGCAGCACCCCATGTATACACATGATACACATACAATCATATGCCCCTCCTGCCATTCTGGTGACAGGACAGTTCAAATTCATTTGTCTACGCGGACATCTGGAACTCAGGTAATCCCTGACCTTACTGCCAGAAAAAACGAGACATTCCTTTAGCCGTCAAGCTTTCAGGATTACAACGTCCTGGTTGTAGCTGAATTGAATAAAAATGATCTCTTGTCCACGGTTTCAGGGCACATATTTTTGCTGTGCAAGAGGATTAGCACTCCCAGAGCCAAGCAGAGGGCTGGCTACACACCAGGGTAGCTGTGTCTCCTTCCTCTTTGTGGCCCCCACACCTGGTGACACAAGGAGCAGGCGACCCACCTGCGCCAGATAAAGCATGGCTGGGTAAACCCATTTTCTCTTTTAAGCGAACGATACCTCTTTAAGCAAAGACCATGCATACGCAGGCCCTGCTTCGTTTGTAAAAAAAAAAACAAACCAAAAACCACTTTGTGGTCAAGGCCACGGAACCGAGGGCCTGGAAGCAGGGTCAAGCCTCGAGTACAAACCAAAGCTTGCGCGATCCAAGGGTGATGAGCGTCCGCCAGCTCACCCCGCTGGGGTAGGACAGAGGCAGCAACCGCCCTCTCCCTCCTCGCGGGGCTCCTCCGAGGGCGACGACTGACCCCTTGCATTACTTACACATTAAAGGCGCACAACGAATGCATTCCTTGCCCAGCCACCGATCACAGTCCAGGGTAAAACATAATAAAAGGACGCCAAAACGTGTCTCCTCCGTAGAGCTGACCGCACAGAGTGGGCGGCGAAGGTCACTGGCGGATTTCTACCGGCAGATCCCGCCACACATCACGCCTCAAAGGACGTGCAAAGGTGGATGCGGCCGGAGGTCTTGGAAGCCAAGAGGACTCCGCAGGAGGCCCCCCTGGCCCACGGCGGGGGACCGAGCGAACTCGGGGGTGCCTGCTCAGAAGCTTCCAGCAATGAATTAAACCCCGAGCCGCAGCGGCATACACAAAAGGGGCCGCTGCAGCAGGAGAGCCCCCCGACCTCCCGCCGCCC